TTTACGGGCCTTAAACGTCAATGCAACGGGGACCGTTTTGGGGAAAGTTTCTCGGCTGGTGGTGGGGCACCTGTGTGCCGATTTTGAACGAAATCGGGGGGGACCCCCCATTGACCCGAAATTTTGATTTTCCCGTAAAAACTTTCCTATGGGGAAAAAGTGGAATTTTCCTGCAGGACTGTGTCTGGGTAAACGAGAGCTTTCGATTGATACCCTTTTTTACCCTAGCGCCCCGTTTTTGGCCGTACAAGGGCGAATTTACGGATTTTTTACGAGTTTACGGGGCTTTAAGGGCCTTAAACGTCAATGCAACGGGGACCGTTTTGGGGAAAGTTTCTCGGCTGGTGGTGGGGCACCTGTGTGCCGATTTTGAACGAAATCGGGGGGGACCCCAAATTGACCCAAAATTTTGATTTTCCCGTAAAAACTTTCCTATGGGAAAAAAGTGGAATTTTCCTGCAGGACTGTGTCTGGGTAAACGAGAGCTTTCGATTGATACCCATTTTTACCATAGCACCACTTTTTTGTCCGTACAAAGGCGATTTTACGGATATTTTACGAGTCTACGGGGCTTTACGGGCCTTAAACGTCAATGCAACGGGGACCGTTTTGGGGAAAGTTTCTCGGCTGGTGGTGGGGCACCTGTGTGCCGATTTTGAACGAAATCGGGGGGGACCCCCCCATTGACCCGAAATTTTGATTTTCCCGTAAAAACTTTCCTATGGGGAAAAAGTGGAATTTTCCTGCAGGACTGTGTCTGGGTAAACGAGAGCTTTCGATTGATACCCTTTTTTACCCTAGCGCCCCGTTTTTGGCCGTACAAGGGCGAATTTACGGATTTTTTACGAGTTTACGGGGCTTTAAGGGCCTTAAACGTCAATGCAACGGGGACCGTTTTGGGGAAAGTTTCTCGGCTGGTGGTGGGGCACCTGTGTGCCGATTTTGAACGAAATCGGGGGGGGGACCCCCCATTGACCCGAAATTTTGATTTTCCCGTAAAAACTTTCCTATGGGGAAAAAGTGGAATTTTCCTGCAGGACTGTGTCTGGGTAAATGAGAGCTTTCGATTGATACCCATTTTTACCCTAGCGCCCCGTTTTTGGCCGTACAAGGGCGAATTTACGGATTTTTTACGAGTTTACGGGGCTTTAAGGGCCTTAAACGTCAATGCAACGGGGACCGTTTTGGGGAAAGTTTCTCGGCTGGTGGTGAAGCACCTGTGTGCCGATTTTGAACGAAATCGGGGGGGGACCCCCCATTGACCCAAAATTTTGATTTTCCCGTAAAAACTTTCCTATGGGAAAAAAGTGGAATTTTCCTGCAGGACTGTGTCTGGGTAAACGAGAGCTTTCGATTGATACCCATTTTTACCATAGCACCACTTTTTTGTCCGTACAAAGGCGATTTTACGGATATTTTACGAGTCTAGGGGGCTTTACGGGCCTTAAACGTCAATGCAACGGGGACCGTTTTGGGGAAAGTTTCTCGGCTGGTGGTGGGGCACCTGTGTGCCGATTTTGAACGAAATCGGGGGGGACCCCCCATTGACCCAAAATTTTGATTTTCCCGTAAAAACTTTCCTATGGGAAAAAAGTGGAATTTTCCTGCAGGACTGTGTCTGGGTAAACGAGAGCTTTCGATTGATACCCATTTTTACCATAGCACCACTTTTTTGTCCGTACAAGGGCGAATTTACGGATTTTTTACGAGTTTACGGGGCTTCAAGGGCCTTAAACGTCAATGCAACGGGGACCGTTTTGGGGAAAGAGTCTCGGCTGGTGGTGGGGCACCTGTGTGCCGATTTTGAACGAAATCGGGGGGGACCCCCCATTGACCCAAAATTTTGATTTTTCCGTAAAAACTTTCCTATGGGGAAAAAGTGGAATTTTCCTGCAGGACTGTATCTGGGTAAACGAGAGCTTTCGATTGATACCCATTTTTACCCTAGCGCCCCGTTTTTGGCCGTACAAGGGCGAATTTACGGATATTTTACGAGTCTAGGGGGCTTTACGGGCCTTAAACGTCAATGCAACGGGGACCGTTTTGGGGAAAGTTTCTCGGCTGGTGGTGGGGCACCTGTGTGCCGATTTTGAACGAAATCGGGGGGGACCCCCCATTGACCCAAAATTTTGATTTTCCCGTAAAAACTTTCCTATGGGGAAAAAGTGGAATTTTCCTGCAGGACTGTGTCTGGGTAAACGAGAGCTTTCGATTGATACCCATTTTTACCCTAGCGCCCCGTTTTTGGCCGTACAAGGGCGAATTTACGGATTTTTTACGAGTTTACGGGGCTTTAAGGGCCTTAAACGTCAATGCAACGGGGACCGTTTTGGGGAAAGTTTCTCGGCTGGTGGTGGGGCACCTGTGTGCCGATTTTGAACGAAATCGGGGGGGACCCCCCATTGACCCGAAATTTTGATTTTTCCGTAAAAACTTTCCTATGGGGAAAAAGTGGAATTTTCCTGCAGGACTGTGTCTGGGTAAACGAGAGCTTTCGATTGATACCCATTTTTACCCTAGCGCCCCGTTTTTGGCCGTACAAGGGCGAATTTACGGATTTTTTACGAGTTTACGGGGCTTCAAGGGCCTTAAACGTCAATGCAACGGGGACCGTTTTGGGGAAAGTTTCTCGGCTGGTGGTGGGGCACCTGTGTGCCGATTTTGAACGAAATCGGGGGGGACCCCCCATTGACCCAAAATTTTGATTTTTCCGTAAAAACTTTCCTATGGGGAAAAAGTGGAATTTTCCTGCAGGACTGTATCTGTGTAAACGAGAGCTTTCGATTGATACCCATTTTTACCCTAGCGCCCCGTTTTTGGCCGTACAAGGGCGAATTTACGGATATTTTACGAGTCTAGGGGGCTTTACGGGCCTTAAACGTCAATGCAACGGGGACCGTTTTGGGGAAAGTTTCTCGGCTGGTGGTGGGGCACCTGTGTGCCAATTTTGAACGAAATCGGGGGGGACCCCTTATTGACCCAAAATTTTGATTTTCCCGTAAAAACTTTCCTATGGGGAAAAAGTGGAATTTTCCTGCAGGACTGTGTCTGGGTAAACGAGACCTTTCGATTGATACCCATTTTTACCCTAGCGCCCCGTTTTTGGCCGTACAAGGGCGAATTTACGGATTTTTTACGAGTTTACGGGGCTTTAAGGGCCTTAAACGTCAATGCAACGGGGACCGTTTTGGGGAAAGTTTCTCGGCTGGTGGTGGGGCACCTGTGTGCCGATTTTGAACGAAATCGGGGGGGACCCCCCATTGACCCAAAATTTTGATTTTTCCGTAAAAACTTTCCTATGGGGAAAAAGTGGAATTTTCCTGCAGGACTGTATCTGGGTAAACGAGAGCTTTCGATTGATACCCATTTTTACCCTAGCGCCCCGTTTTTGGCCGTACAAGGGCGAATTTACGGATATTTTACGAGTCTAGGGGGCTTTACGGGCCTTAAACGTCAATGCAACGGGGACCGTTTTGGGGAAAGTTTCTCGGCTGGTGGTGGGGCACCTGTGTGCCGATTTTGAACGAAATCGGGGGGGACCCCCCATTGACCCAAAATTTTGATTTTCCCGTAAAAACTTTCCTATGGGGAAAAGTGGAATTTTCCTGCAGGACTGTGTCTGGGTAAACGAGAGCTTTCGATTGATACCCTTTTTTACCCTAGCGCCCCGTTTTTGGCCGTACAAGGGCGAATTTACGGATTTTTTTACGAGTTTACGGGGCTTTAAGGGCCTTAAACGTCAATGCAACGGGGACCGTTTTGGGGAAAGTTTCTCGGCTGGTGGTGGGGCACCTGTGTGCCGATTTTGAATGAAATCGGGGGGGGACCCCCCATTGACCCGAAATTTTGATTTTTCCGTAAAAACTTTCCTATGGGGAAAAAGTGGAATTTTCCTGCAGGACTGTGTCTGGGTAAACGAGAGCTTTCGATTGATACCCATTTTTACACTAGCGCCCCGTTTTTGGCCGTACAAGGGCGAATTTACGGATTTTTTTTACGAGTTTACGGGGCTTCAAGGGCCTTAAACGTCAATGCAACGGGGACCGTTTTGGGGAAAGTTTCTCGGCTGGTGGTGGGGCACCTGTGTGCCGATTTTGAACGAAATCGGGGGGGACCCCCCATTGACCCAAAATTTTGATTTTTCCGTAAAAACTTTCCTATGGGGAAAAAGTGGAATTTTCCTGCAGGACTGTATCTGGGTAAACGAGAGCTTTCGATTGATACCCATTTTTACCCTAGCGCCCCGTTTTTGGCCGTACAAGGGCGAATTTACGGATATTTTACGAGTCTAGGGGGCTTTACGGGCCTTAAACGTCAATGCAACGGGGACCGTTTTGGGGAAAGTTTCTCGGCTGGTGGTGGGGCACCTGTGTGCCGATTTTGAACGAAATCGGGGGGGACCCCCCATTGACCCAAAATTTTGATTTTCCCGTAAAAACTTTCCTATGGGAAAAAAGTGGAATTTTCCTGCAGGACTGTGTCTGGGTAAACGAGAGCTTTCGATTGATACCCATTTTTACCCTAGCGCCCCGTTTTTGGCCGTACAAGGGCGAATTTACGGATTTTTTACGAGTTTACGGGGCTTTAAGGGCCTTAAACGTCAATGCAACGGGGACCGTTTTGGGGAAAGTTTCTCGGCTGGTGGTGGGGCACCTGTGTGCCGATTTTGAACGAAATCGGGGGGGACCCCCCATTGACCCGAAATTTTGATTTTTCCGTAAAAACTTTCCTATGGGGAAAAAGTGGAATTTTCCTGCAGGACTGTGTCTGGGTAAACGAGAGCTTTCGATTGATACCCATTTTTACCTCTTTGTGACGTCATTTCTAGGGGAAAACGGGTCATAAAGGTTTCCCTCTACCGGGGCCTTTTTTCCCCCTACCGAATCTGTGCTGTGCTGAATCTGTGCTGAATCTGTGCCAACTTCCGTTACATGTGCGGTAAATGGCAAACACAAATGCTGCGCAGAAAAAACAAATGTGTAACTTCAGACAACATTCGTTCGGACGACAATGTGATGTCAAGGCGAATCAAGAAGTTCTTCATGCGATTGTTAGTTATCTGTCGTGCTAACTTATTAGCAGTTGAGTTGTGAAATGTATTATCAAAATCAATGTTTATTGAACGCAGATTCAGTTTATTTTCAGATGTACCTAGGTACCCTTACACTTCACTCATCTCAAGCTGTTCAAACACCCTTGACAAAGTCGATTAAGATGAAACGTTGGGTATAATTTATACTGTGTTTTCTCTGCATTATTAACATATTCATCATATATACAATATAAGGGCCACATGCTTTTTACAGGGAGACATGTCAGACAGCCCAGTAGGATGAGGCTTCGTCAAGCGTCATTTTTAGCAAAGCTTTTCTTGCTTAAAATCCAGTCTGCAAAACATGGCAGGGCTTACACTTTGGCTTACACTTGACTCCCAGCTGTTTTGTCTTTGCTATGCGATGTTAAACATATAAAACATCTTACTATTCATGTATGCGCCATGACTCATGTAATCTTTTCACAGCCAACACGCTCCTAATGTACTGGGAATGTGGGGAGTGCAGCAGCATCAGTGCAGCACCAATGGTCAGATGCGACGGCTGTGATAAATGGTACCACTTCCGTTGCGCGGGACTGTCTAAGGAGCCAGGTAAGCGCAAATGTTTTCTGTCTCAGTCTTTTTGTTGCAGCTATAGTGATCAATGAAAGATTTTCTGCACTGTTCAGCCAAACATGTATTTCAAACAATCTGCTTCCCAACCAAGGGCGTCGCCACAGGGGGGGGGACGGAGGGGATCTCGTCCCTCCACTTTTTAAAATTTTTAACATTACGCCTATGGCGTTGCATGGAAAGAATCAACTTGAAATGGTCCGAGCCCCTCCAAAATGGTCAATGTCCCCTCCAGTCGTCGCACCGTGGCGTCGCCCCTGTTTCCAACTACACAGATTTAGTCAAACAATGTGCCAATATGGAATTTTCAGGTTCAGTTGAATGAAATAGGAACAATGATAATTGTAGATTACGTATACCTGCAAGAGAGGAAAACAGAATACATTGTATTGCTTGTCCTTCACCGATACTGTTATTTTTCCATTTCTAGAAACACCGACATGGCGATGCAGGTGGTACTGCCTGGTGAGGCCGCGGTCTCCGGAATCGCCTGCAGACGAAGTCACCTGGCGTCCATCTGCACATCACTTGCAGAAGTGAGGCCTGCTGACAGCGTCTGGCAGTGTCGGCAACGTGCCAGACAGCTATCTGGAGTCCTGCTCACCGCAGGTCGCCGACAGGAGGGGCGACGCATCGTCTCCGAGGTCGCCTCAGCATCAGTGAGACCCCACTGGCCGTCTTCTTAGGCTTCAACTAGATTGCGAACAACCTATGCTGAGACAACGCCCATGACGTGTGATCCGGTACCGCTACCGCACTGCGTGCCTGTGCCCGCCGTGAGCCGCTAGTGCATGGGTTCGACCATGAGAATGTGTGTTTATGTTGCTTTTACTATTGTTTATACGTTGAAGTGACGAATTGTTTATTTTTCGCAAGCCTCCGCTGTCCGGTTGCCTGCAGCTCCATGCAACGCCAGCTGTACTGTTGTTTTAATGTTGTCTCTCCGCTCAGCTGTACTGTTGCCTCTCCGCTCATATATGACACCCTCTATATGAATGGCACTACTGATTGTCACACCCACTGTCCGTATTGTCCGTAGTGGTGTCTACGCCCATGTTAATACAGCGTGCAGAATCCAGATTCTATTGAGGAGAGTTGAGCCAAGTCACCATAGGCTCGGGAAGAGAGCAACGTGGAGGCCCACTGCCCCTTCCCCGGCCCCCACTGGGGGCGCCAGCCACTCCAACTTTTGACTGGATGTCAAGAGCGTCGCCACGAGGGGAACGAGTCGCCGGCCAGCCAAGGTAGCCAACGGCGTGTGAAGGTTGCCTGACCTCGAGGAAACTGAGATGGCACCAACGGAGGTTTTGTTAAGTAGGCGACCAAAATTCGAGCGGCAGCAACCTGGGCACCTTCACAGGGAATATGACCGGGGGAATATGACCCAATATCCCCCGTAAATATGTGCCTCGGAAGGGAGACCCAACCATAAAACTCGCCGTATCTTATCCACTATTTTTCGAGCAGGTCCATAGATTTCCGTCCTCAAAAGTGCGGGGATATTCCCCAGTGTTTGAGTTGGATGGGACTATCGTGGCGTTTACACCGACAGGAGATTCCCATTGCCGGCTGTGGGAAATTTGGATATCAATGGAATCAAAATCTTATCGATCGATGAAGAACTAAATTACCCCGACCCGGAGAGCGTCTTTGGAATCAAAGCAGTAGCACATGACGCAAGACTTCAGGCAAATGAATCCTTCTCGTCTGAAATAAAACATTTGTGTATTGATAAGCACGTTTTATAAGCAATGGTAGCAAGATTCTTCATGTATTTGGTTTAAGTGATAATTTAGTAGCAGATACTTACCGTCGCATTTCGTTTTTTTAATTAATAATTTATATTGTCAGAACTAGCAACATATCTCTTCACTCAACAATAATTACAAAAGTGAAAAAGAAATGATAAATTGCTCATATTTTGGTGAAACTAAAAATTAATTCAGCACATATTTTTTTTACAGCGTTGAAGTCCAGCTCCAAAGGACAGCTGACGATCGTAGCCGAGCAGGCTGTTTGGTACTTCTTCACTACTTCTTAGAAGTACCCGTTAGTACCGATCATGTCTCACAAAATAAGCTATTGGAACAAAAATATCCATATTCTCCAAATTATTCTCCTTTCACACTTTAAATAAATACTTTTGAAATGCATTTACCAATTAATTTCACAAAAACGGCTTAAAATTTTACAACGTCAAAATACTTATTCCAATTTCCACCATGAAACCACCACTATATTACTTGCTTACAGAACCGTGCGCACAGTGCGCGCAGTTTTATCGTGACGTCAGAGGGTGCTTCTTCAGTGGCGCCCCCTGGCGGGGAACGCGTGCAAAAAGTCCAGCTCTTAGGCATGTCCGTGTCGACACGCGCGATAACAAAATATGGCGCAAATATGGCGCACCCATGATACACCTGGCGTAAATTGGACGCAGCCTGACCTTCATTTCTGCTTACTAGGTGGCACCAGGGGCCGTCGATCCCTGCTGAACCCCTGCTGAACCCCTGCTGAATCCCTGCTAACTTCCGTTACTTCTGGATTTCGTCCTCTACACGAAAAGGAAAAGATAAATAAAATGCTTTCAAACGAACAATTTTTCTTTTTGGTGATTGCGCTACAATTTTTAAACAGAAAATATTTTCTCAGGCCACACGGCTCAGAATAAGCATCAGACAAGAAGAGAAGAAGGCAAGGGAAAATACTTTTATAGCACCTGATGAGAGACGTAAATGACGCACAAGCGACTTTCGAGGCGCAGGAAGTGCTCGAGCCCAAAGCATCGCCACCAGAGGCCGGAGAGTCGGAGACAGTCGCCAGCTGTGTTCGTTGGAGTGTGGTTACCGTCCGACGTGCTCCTCTCGGCCACGATCTTCACGTTTGATAGAAGATTCCATCACTTCAGTGGCTGCAACAGCCACAGCTAACGAGTGACTCCCCAAGCATTAGCTTTTGTCAAGCCGCACAATGCGCGAGTTCAAGGTTGTAGTGCTTGGCTCGGGCGGAGTGGGAAAAAGCGCCCTCACAGTTCAGTTCGTCTCCGGTCACTTCATGGAGAAATATGATCCTACTGTCGAGGACTTCTATCGCAAAGAAATTGAGGTAGATGGGTCACCATGTGTCCTGGAAATTCTGGATACAGCTGGCACAGAACAGTTTGCCAGCATGCGAGACCTCTACATCAAGAATGGCCAAGGCTTCCTGGTGGTGTACAGCCTCACAAATCACCAAACATTCCAAGATATCAAGAACATGAAGGAGCAGATTTCCAGAGTAAAGGGCTCAGACAGAGTTCCAATTATGCTGGTCGGAAACAAGGTTGATCTGGAGAATCAGCGGGAGGTGTCAACAGTGGAGGGAATGGCTCTGGCACAGATGTGGGGCAGCCCATTCCTGGAGACCAGTGCCAAAGTCAAGACCAACGTCAACCCAGTCTTCTCCGAGATCGTCCGGGAGATGAACGACAGCCCTGAAGTGGAAAAGGGATCATACTGCTGTACAATCCTATAGCGTTGCATGCAATGCTACTCTAGCAAGAGTGGATGAGGATTCTTCTAATTTAATGTGCTAAAGGTAAGTGTTTCCATTTTTCTCTTCTGGTTGTGTGAACTCTATGCAGGTTGTCGTAACATATTTTTCCTTGTCTTCTGTCTTGTCTTGCTAAATATGATGTCCCCTAATCTATTCATTTATAGTATAACAATGGTAGCGCTTAATATTATTGATTTTTCAATCCTCCAAATTCTTTTAAAAAGTCATGAATTTCACTATGAGTGCATTTTACTTTAAAACTTTAAACAGTGAGCAATGTGAACAGCCAACAGAGCTATAAGCTTCATTGGTTAATGCATTCTCAAGTAGCTTCTTTTTTAGCCTCCTGATTCATTTGGGATGAGAACACATTAGTCTATTCAGCCAAGGTGTCACAGGATTGTGTAAAGGTTTTCAGTTGGCTGACCAGCTGTGAGCCCCTGCACATGGGGTCTGATTGTTAAAAGTCATTTGGAGTGATCAAGATGCCATCGCCCATCAGTCCAGTAGGTATTGAGATCCACTTCCCAGCACAGTCGCCAGTTAGACGGAGCTCGGGTGGCGCACCGGTCGCATGGGCCAGTTTCTGGGCTCTGACCTGTGGCCGACGCTCCATGTCTGCTGGAGACGGTGCACACCAGCCAGAGGTCACGTTCGGTTCACGGACCCGGTGTTCGCCGTCACGTGGCTCGCTGCCAGGCATCACATTCTCCGGGGACGTACCGTGAGGCGTCCTTTCCGCTGGCGTAGAATGTTGGCGTTGTAGTTCACGAGAAGCGTTTCATAGGGCAGCTTTGTGAGCTCATGTTTGGGACAAACGGATGCCCGACATTCGTCAGTCTGTTCATTGTGTCGTGACGGCCGGCGAGTCAGCCGTCGTCGGTGGGCCCTCGAGGTACGCTCCAGCTGGCCGCGTGCCCGATGTTCGCCGGATGCGCCCCTCCGCCAGTCGCCCATGGCTACCGACCGGTCCAACCAGGGGCGTAGTTTTATGTATGAATGTGCGGATGGGAGTCCCCCTTAGACCTTAGCTGGTGTTTTTTTTTTTTTGGGGGGGGGGGGGGAGGTTGCTTTTGGCGGGAAGGGGATGGGTGGATATGCATTCTGTATTACCTATTGGCACGTGGATTTGTCTTCCTGTCTTTTGATTAACATTTTCCTTGGGGGAAAGCTCAGTCATAACTTATTTCGCGACAGTAGGTTAGCTGGCAGGACACTGCCGACACCTCCGCCTCAGCAACGGTCGAGCTCTGTTATCTGTATCCTCCCCTTGCCTTTCCCCTCCATGCTTACAGAGCTGTGCTGTTTTGCTTCCATCAGACTCTGTATATAAGGTTTATCAGGACAGAGAAGCGTGGCACCCGCGCCGCCATCCGGTGCCGCCGATACGGGCTCTGATCTCTGACCCTGCCACCGGGTGCTCGAGTCCTCACTGGCTATCGCCACGGTGTGGCCGGCGTGTCTAAAGCGTGATTCACATCGCCACGGGTCTCTGCCGGCGGCGCCTGCGGGTGTCACGATAATTGGTCTGTTATTCCATGACGTTGAAGCGAGGCTTCCATGGCGGGCGTTCAAAGACATTCCGATACAGCAGTCGTCGTGATTATCGCCAGGTTTCACGAAATAATTCATGACCAATAAGTCTAGCATTCCGTGCAGCCGATCTACATGCATGTGGCGAAAGGCAGGACCGAGAAAGTTTGCCCGTGGCGAGATGTGAACTTGGTTAGTGCGGTAGTCTGTTTTATTACAGAGCGCCGTTTTCTGCTGGGATCGGCTCGGATTTATGACATCGTGCGCCGGTCGCGCGGCCACCCCCTGTGGCGAGAAAGCTAACGTGCGCGACCCGACGCCTTGAGAAAGGCAGGTGTCTTCGGTCAACGGTCATCTGATAACGCCATCCACCCGCCAGAGAACCATCAGTGTCGTGAGCCATGCAGACATGAGGAGAGCTGCGAACACATGAGCTCATCAGTCATCAGGATGCAGGTCACTGTTGCGACAGAACTTGTGTGATCTTGAGGATGAAGGCGTAAGTGGTTGTCAGGGTGCACTTGCGAGCTTTGTCACGACCTTGTAACTCGTAATACCTGGCTTTGATGTGTGCCGGTGTTGACGGCATCTGACTGATTCTACGAGCTCTGTATGAGCGCTATTTGTAAAGCTGTTCTGGTGCTTCTCAGAAAAGGCGGCGGCAGATTAGGCGGAAATTTGCGGTTAAGCGCAAAGTGGCTGCAACCTTGGCACACCCCTTGGTTCCGAGCGCCGATCCAACAGGACCTAGCTTACTGAGTCTTTGCAGTAAAAGTGATTCAAACAGTGGCCCATTAAAATCAAAAATGTTTCAATATACAGCAATCGTTGCTGAAAAAGTCTGTGCTCCCTTTGTCAACACGGATTGGGACCTACGGGCGCCCGCCGATAGCGCTGTTCACCATCCCGCCGACTGCACTCGTCTGATGGGTGACGTCACCAGTCCGGCCTCAGTGACGTCACCAGTCCGGCCAGGCGACGGCGGCCATTGCGCAAGTGCAGCGGTGCGGCGGCGCGTGTGGCTCCAACACTGGGTCAGAGCAGCGACACAGACGGGGCACCGACCCCTGACCGGGGCACGCGCGCTGCTGCTCGCGACAGATACGGATGATGCGCCGGGCGGCCGGCGACAACGGTATTGGCTTGTCTGATGGCTACATGCAACCGGTTTTCCTGTACACTCGATGTGGCATTTGTCGATGTCGGTGTGCGGGATAAATTTAATCGTACAGATGTTGCTGTCGTAGTTTTCACCTCTACGGCCGTGAGAAAGAGCCGAGAGCAATGCCGAAGAGGTCTGGCTGCCTGTCAGTGATGTTTGTTGATCGGCACTTGTCCGGTCTGTTTGCTGCCGAGTGCAGCTTCGTGGCGTGCTCCGTGTCAGACGACCAGGCAGTTTCATCATCTCGCATACGAGGCACTGATGCGTCAGGGTCACCGCCATAGCTCGGCCGTTCGCCGCATCCCGGCGATTCAGGACCGGTCTCGGCATCACGGGTGTGCCACCCAAGAGCACTGTCCGTCATCCATCTCCTCTTGGCTGTTAAGAATGTTATACAATTAAGTGACGTGCACTTATGTGATGACCATACTTGGGTGAGATAATATGGCACACAAGTCGTTACTGGCCTACGTCTGTAATATTGTAACTGCAGTACACCGAGCACGTTCTACTGTCTCTATGAAAGGCAGTCCCTAGTCAAACTCAGACTAGTCGGCGTGTCCGCGTTCGATTCGCAACGGCAACCGGTTCGACAGCGGATGAGCGATTGGGTTGACTTGGGCATCTGGTTTCTGTGCTCCTCTGTCCAGGCCTAGCACGCGAAATCTGCAGCGGGACGTCTTCTTGCAGATTGGAACGTCATCGCCTTCTGACCGGCCAGACTCACATACCGCTGGGCTGGCGTCCACTGGTTAAGATCGGTCTCGGGGTTAGTTCGCTCCGCGATACCCATTCGCGACGGCATATCACGGCGCTGGAGACGCCCGGCCCGGCGGCAACCGCGTCTCGGTGCAAAACTGGCTCTCGACACCCGTGCGGCCTTGACACGGCGGGCTCACGGAATGTCGGCCGACCGAGACTGTCACCGGCGTGCAGGGCGCGCGTCCAGCTCGCGTGCGAACGGCTCGTTCTTTTTCCGGAGGCCGTTTCATTCGCTAACGACGACTGCGACACTTGGTGGCCGTTTTTACGCGTGCTTTGCGCGTCGGGCCATTGTGCGGTGCCGGTCGCGACTGTGGAGCCCGTATCGCGTTAGCAGTCGGCCGGCGGCGATGACACAGAAATGTGACGCGCCTATTACTCAGCAGAGCGGTTGCGTGATGATCTTTAGCAGACCAGGCACTCAGCGCGGTGAGGGCGTCACGCGGTCTGCCTGAGAACGCGCCGGCACCTGTGGCGGCGCCGCATGCATGTGCGCAATCATAGAGGCAGCGTGAAGTTCGTCATTGGATTTTAACTTAATCAAGCAGCTGCGAGCTTCTGCGCTTCTCAATAATATGAATAATGGCGTTTGATGCTCACTCGATTCAATCAATCTGACTAATCAGACATGTGGCGGTAGACTGAGTCAACCTTGCATGGTGTACCAGCATGCAGGTACTGGAGCGATTCAGCAGTCGGACAGGCTCTCCAGTCGACCGACCGGACATGCCGACTGTTGGCTGGTTGCTGACCGCAGACTGCAGATACACCATCTCCAGACGGAGTGGACGCCACCGACCTGCCCCCACTTGGCCCAGCCTGGTCTCGGGCCGCCGGCGTCTGTCTCGCCGCTCTCACGTGCCGGCAGCCCGCAGCGGGGGCGGGCCTCCCCAGCGTCGCTCGGTTCGCCAGAAACCCTGAGCACGCGCAGCGGCCCTGAAATGCGTCACAGCCGCGGTCTGCACAAAACGCCAGCCGTCGGCCTGTGGCGAATGTCTCATCGTTGTGTGTGATTAGCAACTGCGCCATAAGCGCTGTTTAGAGGCCGCCAGTACTACTGCAAAAGACCAACTTTGATGCAAGTAGAGATTCCTAACGGAAAACTTAATTAGCATCTTTCCGCTTTGGTATACCAGCTATGCGTCACGATGAAGTCGATATCAGTCTCTGGATCGACCATTGCGCTGTGGCTACCCCTCCATCGCGTCGCACCCAGCGTCGTCGCGTCTTAGCCTCCGCCAGGGTCGCATGTGAGCGCGGGGTGGTGCGGCGTCGCGTGCCGTCTGTGAACGCCCTGTGAGGGCGCCGGGCTGTGTACTGTGTAGCCCTCCGTCCGCCGGTGAACCGCCAGTCGCCGCCCGCAAGACACAGCGCCGCACGCCACTGGCCTGTAAACAAGTGAAAGGAAGAATTGGCGTCTCGTGGCACGCTAGTCGCCGCCGGTGCCAAGGTGTCGCTGCTACGATTGGTGCGACACGGTATTGCTGCTCGCTATTCTGTACAGGCAGTGCTAATTAGCAATGGTTCTGTCTCACTGCATCAAATGATTCCGGCCTCTAGATTTCGTGATGGGAGCAGTAGCAGC